ATTATAACTGTTGTTATATTTATTATAACTTGTTATATTTATTATAATTGTTGTTATATTTATTATAACTTGTTATATTTATTATAACTGTTGTTAGTGCAGAAAAACTTTGGACTGCAGCCTCCTGGAGTGTGCATGTGCCACTTGGAGCATTTCACACCTACGTGGGGGGTTCCCCTGAAAATCTCCACTCTGAGACCTGGATTCCTTCAGTTTCAGAGAGAACGAGGATGTTGTCTGAAAATGAAGGAACGTTTCACGTCGTGTAATCGGGGCCTCAGACTGGCTGTCCTGTCTGTCAGTCAAGAGACTAATTTCATAGATGATGATCGGCTCACGTCTATTTTTTAATGAGATCTACCCAGAATACCTTTGAGATGGACCAGTAGATCATTGTCAGTGTATTGGGCACCCCTGGTGTACAGTGTGTCCAGTACATGTCATGTTGGGGAGGGTTTTCAAAGCTAAACGGGTCATGTTCAGGAGCGAGCTTTCTTTAACTCCACACTCGAGGGACCGCCTTCATGCAGAGAAGGACACGGGCTGACAGAGCAGAACATCAGTGACCTGGAAACATCTAAAACGTAAATATCAGGGTGGAAGAAGGAGAATAAAAGTGTCTCACCCTTCATCTGGACAAAGTCCAGCTGGTGGATGGTTTGCTGGAGGGGTCCGCTGTCCAGGGTCAGGTCAAAGTCGCTGGTCATCCTCGGGGTGAGGGTTCCCTTCCCCCACTGACCCTCTGTCATGTGCACCCTCCGGATCAAAGCGTCGGAGATCTGAGACGAGGACGGGACAAAACAGATCGATGAATAAACGACGGAGAGCCACACGCAACAAAACTCAAGCTTGTTAACGTTAAAACACATTTTAAGATCCAAAAATGTTGGGACGTTGTGAAACAAAGTTAAAAAAATAAAAAAAGGCAAAACAGAATGCAAACCTTACATTTTATTGGGACATACAAACTTAAAAAGTTCAAACTAAGCAGTAAAATAAAATAATTTTGAATTTTTTTGCGGGCACGAACACGTATAAAAATATTCCAGGGGCGTCTTCAGGCAGTGAAAGTAAGAGATACAAATATGAAGCAGGTGGAGGACAATTAATTAATTAATTAGGTTAACGAGGTGTAGTGAACTAAGCCTCAGGTCAAAACCTGATCCTGGGACAGGAACTGTTATTTCATTGATTTGAGTCCAGAAATACAAATTAAGCTCATCCAGAGACTTTCTAAGTGTGTCCTGCACTGATCAATTGAAAGAACACTCTCTTTTTATTATCATTACTATTTTACAATATCTTGATAATCAAAGTGTGTTTAGTTCAAACCATTTTAAATGTTGAAGTGAACTACTCATTTTAAATCAACTGTGAAACAGTATAAATGATTTTTAATCCTCATTCAAAGTAGAAATCAAGTTAAAATGCCTGTTACAAGCAATTATGCATTTTTGATTTTCTGTCTGAAATGAGCAAGTCGTGATGTCGGTCAAAAGTCACAGAACGGTCAAAAACATGTTTATCGGAACGAAATGTCATGTTTAACTCTCTCAGACAGATAGAAGGAAGACTGGCTCCTAAATGTCTCTGTTTCTTCAAAACATCTTTCTGTCTGTTCTTAAAACATCTACTCTGTCTCCTTGACATGTAATGACCCTCTGACGTCACTAAAACCACACCCCGGTTGGTTCGTTCAACCAATCAGGAAGTTCTCAGAGGAACCGGAAGTGACCTCTTTAAAAGGGTCGACACTTCCTAGTTCCAAGCAGAACAAGTTCCAAGCTGAACAACGTTCCAGAGCAGAAACGAACGCAAGTTCTGAAGTGCTGGAGTTAGTTGGGAGTTCTTTCGAGTCTCGTGGGGATTATGGAATCTTCCACATCTGAGTGGAACTCTGACGGGCTCACAGCTCATGTGAGTCCACCTGGGAGGTGAGCGTGCTGTTGAACGAAGTACCGTCACTACTCCGGACGTTTCTCTACTATCCTACGGAGACGCTGAAATGGTAACGTTGAAAGAGAACTCTACACCGAAGCTGAGGTATCTTCTGCAAGGTAAAGAGTCTATTTCCACTACCGAAGTGTACCGAGGTAGAGCTGGGTTCGAATGGAGGGTGTCGTTCTTCGTCAACACATTTTCCCTCACACATCTTTTCTCTCCATTTAAACTCCTTCATTCCCCATCTTTAAAACTCTTCTATCTGCCAGTAATTAATCCAGATATTTTCAGAAATGTCTGTTGTATTTCAGTTGCAAGTGAGAAATCATGGCCGTATGATTTCTCATTGTAAAGCTCATTAATTAAGCTGTGTTAATTGTAATCAATCTGCCAATTAATGTAAATGTGTGATGTGTTTTGAAATTGTTTAAAATAAACGACTCACTGTTGTTGGTGAGTCAGAAATTAATACACGTTTCCGTCCACATTTAATCATTCAAGGCACGATAGTACTCAGTCCAGAAAAATGAAAGAATCCGTTTAAATAAAGGATAATATCAGACGCATATTATCTCTCATTACAGAGGCCCAGGTACAGAAAGAGCGGTTCAGAGAAGCTGACTGTCAGAAGTAAAGATGGGCAGAGGTTCACCACGCTGTAAAAAACTGAACAATGAAACAATTAGAGAATCATGTTCCTCCATGGAAACTTGTGCAGACTTCTAACATCCCATTATCTACAGTTTATCATATAAACCAGAAGGTCTGAAGGGTCCGGAGGAAGAAACTGTAAGTCAAGTCTCAGCATTAAAACCAGGTCCAGTTCTGGTTCTGGACCTCGCTGCATTAAAACCAGGTCTGGTTCTGTTCTGGGCTCAGGAACACGTCCACAGATCATCGTCTGTAAACACAGTTCATCCACACATGCTGCTTAAAGCTCTATCAGACAGAGAAGGAGCCAGATGTGAACACCATCCAGAACTGCTGCCGTCCCCTCTGGACCAGAGCTCGTTTCAGATGGACTGAGGTGAGTCCAGAACTGTTCTGAGGTCAGGAAATCTTATATATGAAGTTCATTTTGTGAACCACAGATTCCACGTCCTCCGTACTAAAGACCATCCAGACTGCTTTCAGACCACAGTTCTTGGCCTTCCTCTCTGATGGTATGGGGGTGCATTAGTGCCACTGGCATGAGCAGCATACACATCTGGAAAGATTCCATCAATGCAGAAAAGTATCTACAGGTTTTAGATGAACATGCCCTCCCATCCAGCAAGAAACCCATCAAGAAAGACACAGGACTGTAGAACGGCTAGAATCCTCCATCAGACCAGAAGGGGACCACATTCTCTCCAAAACCTGGTCTCCTGAGCTTCTCTAAAACCTCCAACACCTGGTCTCCTGAGTTCTCTAAAACCTCCAACACTTGGTCTCCTGAGGTTCTCTAAAACCTCCAACATCTGGTCTCTTCTGGTCCTCTAAAACCTCCAACATCTGGTCTCTTCTGGTCCTCTAAAACCTCCAACACCTGGTCTCCTCTGGTCCTCTAA